CATATTCATCCCGGATTTGTGAATAACAAAACTTCATACCAGATTTTTGCACTGTAAAGTTAAAATACCGGGAACAGTGTAATTTCCTCTTCCTTCATTCCTTTAACTTCTTCACTGGGCTCCGTAGAAACCCATTTAATACACACCTACAACCTTTCGTCTTCTTCTCCAACTCTCTTCCCTTTTCTGCAAATTTCTGCATATGTTGCTACAATCCTCCGTAAATATCTGCATATTTCTATAACACTCTAAACAAATGGTCGTTGCCACCTCAAATGGAAGCCAAAAGCAATACTCCACTGTCCATTTTTTTCCTCCCTTTTCCATCCGTGTCCAAGTTCAAAATCGAGAATCCGACACATATCCCATGTCAGTATCCGTGTCATGTCGTGTCGACACAGATACTTCGCCATTTTTGGAGAGTCCGAGCATCATAAAGTAGACCATCTCTTATCATTGAGATAATTATGCCAGATAGAAATTAGATATCCAATCTTAAAGAAAGGGCATGTTTGACTAAGTTCACTAATAAGTAAATAAATTTTAAAATAGGTAATTTTTTTATTGTTGATCAAAATTGGAATAATTTGACATTCAGGTAAGAGTTATTTTCAAGTAACTTTTGTTATTCAAAAGTTAGAAAAAAGTCATTTACCAAACATGTGTTTGGAAATAAAAAAGTTACATTACTTATTTTTAAGCTTGGCGAAATTTGCTCTGCACTTCGCTTTTTCAGCATTAAGACACACAACAATAACTGAGCAAATAAACATCATTCGTGTGACCTACGTTACTAGCATGTGCATCATAATTAGTCTCAGTTGCATCTGATGCCGTGCTATCAGCAATGCCAAATTATAACAAAATGAGACTATCCTCACGTTGATTGACAGCAAAGATAACTGTCCCACTTTTTATTTTTTAGCGTACCATCCGTTCTCCAATAAAACCAATTTTTAAATTGCACAATCTCCAACACTCTTAGCATCAAATTGCTATCTGAAATACGCCATATATGTATGCAAAAATTAAGAATTGCAGCACTATGATCAGAACAATATTTCCTCCAAATTATTCATCAAGTAATCATATTGTACAGAACTTTTGTTTACGATTACAATGAAAAAATTTTTAGCAGAGAGCGAGAGACCATATCTAAATGAACCAAGCTAAAAGGCAAACCTACGAGGCAGTCCATAAAATTACAGCAATTAGAAATTAACCGTATCGGCAATATAATATTTATTGAAACATATTTCATATATCATTAGAATTGAAATTATAAAAGAAGTACCTTCAATCGTAATAACCTCCTTGCCCATCAAGTTTATCCAAGGTAAATATCATCAAAGAAGAGTACCATATAAATTTATCTACAGGATCATCTTTTACATCAAAAGATTCTTCAAATCCATTCTATTTGGTCTCAGTTCCACAAGTAAAGGAGTTGATAAGATAGCATTCCAATCAGTTCTAATGTTTCCACTATAAAAACAAGTTTTCTAAACTATTTTCAGCTGATGATTCTCTCTCTCTCTTTTTTCCTGCAGGGGTTGGGGGCAGTAAACATCTTTTTGTTGCCATTCTCATGAGGATAGTTCATGTCTTCATACGCATAACAGCAATTACACTTACCCCTCATACAATATTCTTCCATCATGGGTTAACCTACATAGAATCTACATAACTCTTGGGTAAGGAACTGAACAAACCAAACAAACAACAATAAAGAGGACAAGCTGACGATTTTTAGAACTTGACTATGGATTTAATTTGCAGCATCTTTGCCGCATGTCTTTACAAAACTAGTTATAATGTTAAAAGATTAGAAAAATGGCAAATATAATATAATAAAGAAAAAATTCCTGATTAATCTGTAAATTACCTTTCTATAAAAAATTTCATTGCAATGGGAGTACAATATTTGGCAAGAAGATAATCAGAACTATCAATTGATATTGATCAAATCATGTCAAACCTAAAAAGAAAGAGAGAAGTAGAAGAAGCGACATAGAGAGACTTTGATAGTGAATGAAATCAATGGTTGTACAGAAGTTTATCCACATGAAAATAAACAAGTATGAAGTTGAGAGAAACTTAAGTGTACATCTCAAATCTCAAACAGCATACTGTATCATATACATATTTTTTTCTGAAAGAGTGAAAGTCGCCACTGAAATGAATATCACAAAAGACAAATTCTATCACATGCAAAGCACCTGCATTGATAGTGGTTTGAGCTGAGCTCTCAAATCTCGAACCGCAGACTATATAAAATTCAGAGAAGAGGATATAAGAATGTAGGTCAAGAATAGAAAAGCCAACATAAAAATTCAGATCGACAATAGACCAGTCTTTATGCATCAACATACCACACAATAAAAATTTAAGAAAAGCTTAGCAACGGATGACTTCTTACCTTCAACTCAGCTATCTCTTGCTCTCGTTTCGCAAAGGTCACAATGAATGCAGCTTCTTTTTTCTTTGCTTTCTCAAGCTGATAACAAAAAGATTTAGAAAATCTCAATAAACTATTACCTAAAAACTTGTAAATCTAAATAACATGTGTGTTCAAAACAAACCTGCTCTCGGAAAGACTCCTCAGAGGATCTCAGGTTCTGAAGGTAGTCGACTACTAATCTTGGTTCTAGCAGAAAATTAGAAAAATAATTCTCTTCAGAGGAAGAAATAATTCAAAAAGTGAATGATGCTTTAGTTACAGGAGTCCAAAAATAAAAGCTAGATAAAAGACAAGCTAACCAAGAGTTGTGCCTGAGGGTATGAAGTACTCATTCTGAAAAGATGAACGCCATTCTTGAATCTCAGACTTAGCCTACTGAATTTCTGTCTGAAACCAAATACCACAACCAATTTACCAACAAAATTTTCAACATCATGAAGAAAATTTAGCTAGAATCTGTTGACTGACTCATTCGGATAAATTAAATGCTCAATATTTCAGACTAACCAAACTGAACGGATGGGGAAAAAAATAGAAAATTGGAAACCAAGAGAGAGCATAGTAGACAGAAAAATGAAGAAGCATAATCAGCATAAAAATGAAAATACCTGACAATCTTTGAGTTCATTCTTACAGGTCTGAAGGCTGCAAAGACATGCCACAAGAAAGATACTACATAAGTCTTACACATTCTATGACAAGGACATCAATTTTTATCTTTCTATAAATTTAGTCCATATTCTTCTGGAAAGCATATTCTGTTACAATATGATAAACAAAACCTCTCACGAAGAGATAAAATCATTCCTGTTGCCACGCCTGGTGCAGTTTCTTCTACTTTCAGGTTAGCCTTTAGTGTCAACAAACAAAATGAAGTCAGGTACCAGAATCCAACAGCCATAACAAAGGCACTAAAGCAAGAATTGAGACATCACAAACTTAATGGATAAATAAAGCCCCAAAGGCATAACCAGCAAGTATTTCCTTTTCCTTTTAAACGGCAAGGAAAAACTTACAAAAATCTTATTTACATCAACCAGATACAATCTGCATAATTCTTAACAAAGCTCTCAATTTCAATTTCCATACCACAATGTACATGATCATAATCATAATCGCATGTACATGTTTTAATTGAGCAATGAAGCCATAAAACAGAGTAATATAGGTTTTAAAGGCAAAAATCTAGCAAATAAAAAAGATAAGTTATAGTGTACACATTGGTAATGGCAGTAAAAGGCACCTTTTTTGAGCCAAAAATATCATCTTCATTGTCGTCAAGATCTCCAAAGCTTCTCTTATTAGCTAATAAACCACATTCCAACAATGAATATATTGAAAAATAAGTATTTATTCATCAAGAAGACATTTTTATTAAGTTAATCGAGCAATTTGAGAACACCTGGCCGCCTCGTACTGTTGCCTCCCGAAAAATCGCCTCCAAAATCATCGTCCTGTGATCATTCAAGAAACATAGTATTTAAAAAAAAAAATTAAAATTCAACGAATAAATTAATAGAAAACTGGAGCGCCAAAATGTATTGACATTAAGAGCAATTACGTCGTCGAGATGATCATTTGATGCCATCGATATCTGAATACCAAGTGAAATTTTAAACCTTAGTTTACTCAACTTGAAGGTTTACGTTTGGCCGTTGGGGATGGCAAGAGCAAAATCAGACGGGAAAAGGAGGGGAATTGAGAATTTGGGCAGGGTAAATTCCTTTCAGTCCCAACCTTTATTAAATGTGACATTATTGTCTTCAATCTTTAGTTTGTGCCAATTTGTCTCCCTAACCTCTTAAAATTATTTGCACGGTTTTCCAATTTGATTGAAAACGTCTAAATAGTGAATAGAGTTAAAGGCAGTACAACAAGCACGGGATAAATGTATGGTGGGTATAATTGTCTAAAAATAGTCCTCATCTACTTTGAACACTACTTTATCGTGACTTTTTATTTAAAAAATAACAAATATATCAAGTGGAGAGGTTATTTGGACAATAATACTCATTGATAATGATAATTCCATGGCTGTTAACCATCTTGCACATTTCCAGATAAAACACAACTCAATATATGCCTTTAATTTATGTAGGCCTGATTTCCTACGGGACAAAAAACTTGTCATTGCTAATATAGCAAGAAAACCTTATTGAAGAATCATAAGACTGATTTGTGTGCATTGCTCACTTGTCGGTGAGAACGAAGATATATGCTATCACTATTCATTGGCATCCCACATCTGCAAACAAGACTATTTATATATTTTATAGATAAGTAGAAGTCCAAGAGACATGACCAATAACCAACATACACTAAGTGAACGTTCGAACGCAACTTCACCACGAACTTTAAAAACTGTAGCATCCTTCAACCTTAAGAGACCAAAAGTAAAAGCATAGCAAATAAAAACACACTTCCAAGTTTGTTACGTTATAAGTACTCCCCGCAAAATATATAAATATATGATCCACATGATCTTCCTCACAAAATCCTCACAAAATCACACATATACCACTTCCAATTTGCTTCCGCAACTCCTCTAACTTCTCCACCAGCTTAAGTACTTAGTTCTCAGTATTCCTCCTTGCAGCTTTCTCTTCGGACAATTGCATTTCAAGAGCATCAGTGGTCTCCTTCAGCTTATTCCTACTTGAAGCTGTCTCTTCAGACAACCGCTTTTCAAGAGCATCAGTGGTCTCCTTTAGCCTTGAGACCTGGAAGCAATAATTTCGACAAAAACGAAACCAAAATGTTTTAAGTACCAATCACATATCAGAGATGACTGACATATTTATTGAAACAATCAATTACTTTTTCCAATGAACTTCGATCACCAGCTGTATCTTATTTGAACTACAATGCCTCCAATGACAGTCAACAAGACAATTTTCTTCAAGGTATTTGCCCAGTGGAAAATTGTGACTTATCGAGCATGCCAAAGAATATATATTGATTAACTCTCATATTTAAAGGTAAATGCCAAATTTAAGTATCACCATCAATAGGAAAATCTTCGTCAAAGAAGAAACTACTGAAAAAAAACACACCTGAAATTTAAGAAAAAGCTCATTTGTATATGGCTTTCCAGAATTTTTATCTACGACCTCATTTACAAGGTAAAGAAGATCCGTCATTTGTTCAGATTTCATCCAGTTATCTACTGTCTTGTTATCAAAGAGCACCCGACGATTCCCACACATTTCAAGAATAACCTACACCAATGATCAGTAACAATTATTAATTTCAGAAAGAGCATTATCATGACTATTCAAATTCATTAATCTATTTTACTATGGAAACAATAAAATTGACCGTTGTGTTAACACCATATGAGGAGTATATTGATGTACCTAATTAGATTACTATAAGTTTAACTGGACAACAATAGCAACTTACCTTCATAGGCTCTGGGCAGCCATGCAGATAGTTATCCGGGTAGTCAATTTTATCTCCACCAGTGAAAACTACTATCATATGGTCACTAATTTTGCTACCGAACAATTCGAACAAGCACTTAAAAGCATATTCTTATTCTCTTGAAAAGCGAATCCGGACAGACAGAACGAAAAGAAAAGCATGAATACCATCGATTGCCATATCAACGCACTTAATAATTTCTTTTGCAATAGATTCAGCGTCAACAGAAATATCTAGCAAACCTGCATTTTTCAAATGGGAAAAATATATAGTAGTTACATTAAAAGAGGCATAAATAATGGTTGACACTGAATGGGACTATGCAATCTGCTGGGTTACGGGCAGGCATTTTCCTATATTTTCTCATTGACAAATAAAGATGTTTACTATAAGTATTCTGTACCTGGAGTGTCAATGACATTCAACCTCCGGCCATCTTCCATTAACAATGTCTTCAGCTCACTAGTACGGGTAACAGAATAAGATGAAGGAGTCGACCTAAATTCCTTACGTTGAAGGATGCTGTTCCCCGTGGCACTTTTTCCATTACCAGTTTTTCCAACTAAAACTATAGTTCGAACTATATCTGAAGGCCAACCAAAATCAGATTCATCGCTGATTACACTTCCACCCAATTTCTGGACTCAAATTATCTGCTAAAAAATACACAAGGCAAAAAATAAATAAAATTAGAAAGGCGTTTGTAGAGAAAGTATTCAAATGCTGCAAGAATAGGGAGGCAGGGATTGCATATTTTCAAGTGTGTACATACATACATCAAGGTATAAAACTAGCTAGTACCCATGTAAAAGATTGATCATACAATAATTTATTTAGAAGAAAAAGAATCAATTTTTGTTCTGGATTAATGTTTGATAAATATAGGACTTGTTTGGAATGATTATTGCCTTTGCTCTTGAACTAGAAGAACCACTTCATAAAATTAGCTAATCTGATTCAAAAACAACTTTTAGTTTTCAAAATCTCCTTTGACTTCTCAAAAGCCATGTCAAATTGGCCCATATAGAGAGAAATCATGATCATACAATCAAATACATAAAAAGTTCGTTTAACCTTTGTTAAAAATATTTTTTTATCATATTCCAGGTTTTTATAATAAGGATGCTTCCAGTAATTCATGTACTGTAACAGAAGTTGAAGAGTTTAATGGTTTACTATTGGAACAGAAGTCGAAGAGTTCTATTTGACAAATATATGAAAAGTTCATTTGACCTTTTGTTAAAAGAAGAAATTTTTACAACTATGTTATTCTACTAACCAATTTATTCGAGGTTTTTATAATAAGGAGGCTTCTATTAATTCATGTACTCTTACAGAAGCTGAAGCGTTCAAGTTTAATGGTTTACCATTAAAACGGATGTCGAAGAGTTCTATTTGAAAAAGCTTTTTTGAGATACAAATTCAATGACTAAAGGCACAGTTTCCTAGTTAGCATACAAATTTTTGTTTTGATCTTGTCTTTTCTTCTAGTTTTGAGACGTTGGAATATGGATTATTTTAAATGTGCTTTGTGTTATGAAAACTGTATTAAAAATCATTGTCTTTCTTGAGAGTAATGCTATTCGTAGTCGCTCTACGTGGCATACACATGGCAGGTGATTATTTGATACATTAATATGGTAATTTTTTTATTCATTAATGCATCAAATAACCACCTGCCATATGTATGCCACGTAGGGCGACTGCCACAGTGAACGACTACAAATAGCATTATTCCTTTCTTGATCAACAGTCTTGCTATATGATTAAAACCACGGTCATCACTCGACTAAAAAGAGTGCACACTTACAATCCAACAAATAATTAACATAAAACAATATTTTCCACACAACGGAAAACATTTATCATGATCTCAATTGATTTGTTATGTTAAAGTTGCTTAGCATAAACTAAGAGCGTCTCCTATGCTAACATTGCATGAAATGGATAATTAAATTCGCACCAAATTTTTTGTGCATTACAGAATATTTACACTTAATAACCATTTGTCAAATGATTGAATGACATTCTTATAGAATTATAACCATTTATAATTTAAATTTGCATTCTTGTAGCTTTTGCAATAATGTACAGCTTGAGCCTTGCCATTTCAACTTTCAGTTAAAAATCAAAAATGAGAAAGTTTCAGAATCAGTAATTTAAATTGAAATAAAGGTTGTCAGTCTTTTCATATTTTAGCATATATGTTTCCAACTTTTGTTTTCTCACATTTATCCTCAAACTTTCAGTAATTAACACATTTGTCCCTGATGATCTTTTTTCCTCAAAAAATATGTTAAGAGGACATAAAAAGATTTATTTGCCTCGTAGATAAGAAAAAATAACAAATAAAAAAATTGATAAAATATTTGCCCTTAATTTCAAGCCATGCTAAATTTGGATAGATACTAACCCCTTAGACAATATATGCTAATTATTTGAATGTTAAAGATAAGCATCCAACGAAAAATATAAGGAAATAAATGTAACAATGAAAAAAAGTTGGGGACTGTCATTATAATTTAAATGTGGTGCAGTAAACATAATTGTGGTGCAGTAAACATTTAAATGTGGACTAAACAACGCTGCTTAGAACATCCTTAATGCTAATGTTAATCACTTTAAAAATATGCCATATAACTGAATAGGTATGTTAAGAAAAATCACCCCCCGCGTTATTTGATAGAACCATGCCAGGATAATATGGTAGAAGGTTGTCTAGAGCCCCATCTAGATCCGAGGCAACTATTAGACTTGTTGAGTCAACAATTTATTTAGTTCTATTTTTTATTTTAGTATATTCAATTTTCTCTATCTTCCTCTCTAATATATTTATATAAATTTCGTAAAACAATATAAATGTAGTAGTATTGGATTATATATAAAATTCATTAAAGACGAATTATAAGTTAAATTATCTATTCGTTGTCACGCAAATTATAAGTCTTTCAACTTGTATATCATGTCAAATCCAGCCATCCTTACTTTTCATTTTTGTCAATTTCGAGACATTTTGATTGAGATACTCGAGTAGAAGTGCAAAAAAGCTTACAATTCCATAGAAAAATATAAGATTAGTGTATACCTAGTCTTCAATTTGTGGAGTTTAATTATATTGTTTCTTTTTCTCTTCAACTGCCAAAATGTTTGAATTTGAGGGCAAAATTGTATTACAATACTATAGACGTGTATTAATTTAGTAGTACGTACATATATTATGTTATTTTAATAAATTTTCTCTTCATAGGATATGAGTTAATCTTTTTCAATAAAGAGTTAAAAAAGTGATCGAGACGAAATTTCAAAAATATTGTTGTAATCCTTTTTCTTATAATATAGTCAAGCTTTGCTGCAGCAAGTAAACAAAGCACCCCCATTGAAAGTGCACAACTCTAAATCACGTTTTCATTATTTGTTCTTCGTTTTTTATTTTATGTTATCAAATATTGGTCTCGATAGTCCAAGATTTTTAGACGTTCGATCCGTAACATATAGGAGTCCTGATTACCAGAAATGTTATGATCCTGCATGTCGTGTCTAACTCTCACGGTGACAAAATTCATGATAAAATCCAAGAAAATGAAAAAAATAAAAATAAAAATTGATATCATAAAATACTCTACAATTGCTTTAAGGGTCATCCCTAATATCACTGCATTAAGAGCAATGCTTGATGTACAATAATTTTGATAATATATCACGTGACATATTGTTATTAGACAAATTTAAAAAACAATTTATCTTTTCTATTCAACACTTATTTTTTTTTTTTTTTTTTTGCCACAACCAACATTGTCGGCAATGTTGTACAAATAAATTAATTATTGGGCAATTAATCTTTTGTACAAAAAGAGAGTGAGATAAATTGTACGAAAAAATTAGTATGTTTATTTAATTAGTTTGTTTAACCTTTAAAAAATAAAATAAATAAAAGGCCAGTCTTTAAACGCATAGAAATGTCTTTTGCCACCTAACCCACTTTTTGACACTTAAAACTCGCATTAAACCGTTAGAAATAGAGCTAATCCTTTTTTCACACCTTTTTCATATCCCATGTTTTTCACATAGGCCCTTCTTTTTCTTCCTTGTAGAACACTATCATTTTCAGATTCATCAAAATTCAAAATTACAATTTTCAAATTCATAGAAAAGAAATCTGAAAAATGCAAAGCTGAATGACAATTTTCAAAATTACAATTTTTTTCTAGCAACCTCGAGTAAAATAATCCAACAATCAAGTTGAAACAAGGAAAAATAACCACGCTAAAAATCTAAAATAAGATCCAAAGTATCTGCAATAATTTCCTGTGATCATACAATAAACCAAGACATTCGTCTTTCATCTCCCATGAAGTCATATCTAGCGTTGCACTAAAATTTGCACCAAACCAAAATTCTTCTTCAACCATTACACCAAAACTTACACCAAATAAACAGTACTTTATTATTTTATTCATTCTTTCGATTTTTGTCAATATATTTATTTAAAATAATTATTTATTTATTTTATAACTATATAAATTACTAAATCATAACTTCGTTAAATTAAAAAATATATTTATTACTAAATTATTCACATGTTTTATATATTATGTTAAATTGACGAAATTAACTGATTATATTATTAATTTATGACAAACAATTACGTTAAATTTACAAAAATAATAAACTTTACGTTAAATTAACAATTACTTTAATTATTATTGATTATATTATTAAAAATAATAAACTTTAATAATATAATTAATAGTGTAATTAATTATTATTATTATCATCATCATCATCATTGTAGAACGAAAATGACACAAATAGCCTTAACCATTATATTTGAAAAATAAAAAATAAGGGCAAAACGGACATTGCACCATTTGGTGCAAAAAATGGTACAACACTATTCACTTTACACCATTTTTTGCAATTATGGTGCAACACTATTCACTTTGCACTAAAAACAACTTTGTACCAAAAAATGGTACAAAATGGTATAATGGTGTTAGCGTTGGAGTTGCCCAAAGCAAAACCCATCTAAAGTTCCAAAACAACAAGGTTTCTCAAAGCATTTAATATTTTATTAACCATATCAGGACTTGTAGCTATCAAACTAGTGTAACAGATAGACATTTGTAATACAGTAAAACACAAAGATGTTTTCCTTCTCCAAAAATCCAATATGTTGCCGAAAAACCAACGATTTTAACCGTTTATATGTTGGATATTTATATTGTAAATATAAAATGTGAAAAATATAATCAATTTAAATAAAGTGTCCAAGTGATGAAAAATGTGACTTTTGTATAAGAGGTCAGGGGTTCAGGTCACTTTTCACGCAATAATTTAAAAGTCTTTGATTTGAGCTATTGGGTTTCCTTGACTAAAATAGTTTTTTTTTTTTTTTTACTTTATTTTAGCCATTTTCAAAATTATATAATGAATCAAAAGAGCCAGTATTATATAACCATTTTTAACAACCCATTATTCACTAGTCAGTAAATTTTGCAAATATTTCTGAATCATGGTAGAGATGATTGAATCCATTCTGCCTATATATCCACCCATCTCGTTTGCCAAAAATACAAATAAAAAACAATAGTATAGTTTCTCATATTCTGAAATTTTATACTAGAATTTTATTTTTTTGTTGGAGTACACTTGACAGTTCCAAAAAATCATTTGTGATTACTGTACAAGTGACTTGTGATCGTTGTATCCTGAAAATAATTGTCCGCGGAGGTGCAGCAATTATCAACAGACAATTTTACTTTATGACATCATGCTGTTACGAGATTCAAAAAGTCGATAAGTTTTATTTCTACATTTTACTGTTCTACAAGTTGCTGTAACTAATTATTTTTCTAACAACATATGCAACGGAACGGACATTAGAATACGTGCACATCCAGAGAGAGAGAGTGTGTGTACCGGCTAGAGCTTTCACCAAAGCATCATCAGCTTCTCTCAACTCAGTTTTAAGCTTCCCCAATCTTTTTGATGGAGTTCAATACAAAAATTAAGGACAAAAAACAGAATCTTCACGTAATCAGAAAAATAAGAGGATCCCACAACCTAAATAATTCCTAATATAGATCTCATAACATCTTCTAGCTAATAAAAGCAATATTCTTTACCAATTAAGCAAGACGTGTCTATACCCTAAAGCAGTGATTAAACCCCAATTACAGCCAAAATTTTGTAATTTCAAAAAATGTGATAAAAAATTCGCCTTGAGGATGAATGGCTTGTCGGGCTTTGGACTTGACCGAATCGAAGAGATTCTGATTCTAGATAACTGTGGAATCGATCCCCTGCTGCCGAATGGGTATATCTCTCTCGCATATTAACCGAAATTCCGCCATTCGAGTTCATACACTGTTCTCTCCTTCGCTCTGCATCTGCATCTATGTGAAAAATTTGTATTCTGCCTGCGAATTTGTGGATCTCTGATGAAAGGGTTTCAATTGAAGAGAGGAATTATTTATCCCGCCATTTTGTTTTGCTTCGCTTCAAATAGTTGTACTTTTCTTCTTCAATTTTTACTCGCTTTTTTTCCTCCCTCTTGTTGTACATGTTCCCCTAAAATTGAAAAGTCACAAATTTATGGGGGAGCGTTAACAATGGGTATTAATAAAAAAATAATAATAATAAATTAATAAAGATAATGACACTATGTAAGAAGTTGACTTTTGAGATAGTTTTGAATTCAATATTACTTTTTGTCGAATATTCTTGTTAGCTAGATTGATTGAACGGATAATAGTACCTTTTGAAAATGTGCTTCTTGGTAATGTATTGAATGTGTGATGGAAAAAAAAAAAATATATCTATTGTTAACAAGCCTTGTAATCATCATGCGCGGTAATGTCACAAGCGTCATTATCTTAATACTGAAATCACAATGGAATCATTACAATCATTTCTTACACATTTTACATTTTTACGTATATTAAGCAGATTTACTATATTAAAACAACCAGTTAATGAACCAAGATCGTTTGCGTATCTTTTACTATTCTAGAAGTATGAGCTCATGTTACAAACTCATCGAGTCCCTTACAAAATTTAAATATGTGAATTCATCGGATAAGCATTAGCAAACATTTTGAATTTCACAACATGAGTTCATTATCGCAGATTTAAAACAACAATGAAGTTGTTATAGTCATTCCCTAGAAGTTTTACACTTTTTATATATCTAAACAATATTATTGGCTATCAATATCATTTTTAACAATCGTAAGTTGGTATGATGAAAAAATTGACATTAGATACATTACGTGGTTTCAATATAGTGGACAACTCAAAACCAATGTCAATGAATGAATCAAGATCATTTTCCTATCTTTCACCATTCTAGGAGTATGAGCAGGAGCGGACTCAGACAATTCGGACTGTGGGGTCAAAAATTATTTTTTTTTTCGAACATCGTGTCATGAACAAAAAGGAAAAATCGGTTGTTTGCTATTCATGTTCGATATTTGCACTTTGGAAAGAAATCGGTAGATTATATGATATATCTATGGACTAAATAATGGATATGGACCATGTGATATAGATATAGATTTAGGATTTGGACTTTTTGGGGCAGAAAATTAAGTTTTCAACCAAAAAAAAAAAAAATTTCAAAAAACTGTGGGGTTATTTGACCCCATATCGGTCCGCCCCTGAGTATGAGCTCACTTTTCAAACTAATTAAGTCTCTTTACAATATTTATAGGTACGTCTATTGCTCAAATAATTCTTTGCAATAGTTTTGAGATGTAACGATATGATGACCGTTATTGTAATAGTAAAACCATAATATAGTTGTTACAATTATTACATGCTCTTTTTAGACTTTTCATGACTATTGAAAACATTATGTACTTTATATAACATATTTAATGATCATACGTTAATCTGGTAGGATGGAAATGTTAACATTTTTATGTACATTAAGTATTTCACCATAGTAAACAACATAGAAAAAAATGAATGAATTAAGATAGTTTACCTATCTATTAGTATTCTAGGAGTGTGAACACACGTTTCAAACTCATTATAAGCATGTGCATTAGCCAAATAAGTCTTTTCAAGCGTTTTTGAGCTATAATGATTTCATAGTCTTTATCATAATTGTGTAATGACAATGGAGTTGTTACGATCATTACATGTACATTTTTGAACTTTTCAAGTCTCAAGACAATGTTATATATTTAACGTTCGTAGGTTATTTTAGAATGATGGAAATGTTGCATTATGTACATTTAAGTAGTTTTAACTAAAGTAAATAACATGAAAACAATTACTAATCAATTGAAAATCTTTCATTACTCTAGTAGTGTGAACTCAATTTTGAATTTATAGTCTCTTTACAACATTTTTATGTGTATACTTTGGTCAATAAGCTTCTGCAAGTATTTTTAGTTTTAATGACACCGATGTCAATATCGTAGTACTAAAAGGACAATGTAGTTGCTGTGAACATTACCACGCATTTTACACTTTTCACGTCTCGAGGGAAAAAAACATTATTTGATAGTAGTAACATTTTTGAAGATTATAATATGATATGATTGATAAGTTGACATTATATACATTAAGTGATTTTACTATGGCAAACAACTTGGACAACAACTACCAATGAAGAATCAAGACTGTTTGCCTTTCACCGAGCTTACTTTTCAAACTCATTGAGTCTCTTTACGACATTCCTATCTGTGTAAATTGGCAAAGTTGTTGAAGTACTGAAAATACAATGGAGATGTTACGATCATCACTTGTATGTTTTTTACATTTAACGTCTCGAGACAACATTATTTGCTATAAATAGCATTTTTAACGATCATATATTAATTTGGTATGATGGAAAAATTGACATTATTAAGTGGTTTCACTACAGTAAACAACATGGAAACAATAATCAATAAATGAATTAAGATTGTTTGTCTATCTTTCTTTATCCAAGAAACGCGAATTAATTTTTCGAACTCATCGAGTTTCATTTTACAATATTTCTAAGTAAGTGCATTTGTCAAATAAGCATTTGCAAGCATTTTGAGTTGTAACGACGTGGCTATGACCGTATTAGTATTAATATGGCAATGGAGTCATTACCATTAATATGTGCATGTTTTGGAGTTTTCACGTTTCGCGACAACATTATGTATTATTGATAACACTTTTAAAGACCATACATTAATTTTGCATGATAAAAAACTTGACATCATATGCAATAAGTGGTTTCACCATAGTAAACAACATAGAAACAACTATCAATGAATATATCAAAATCGTTTGCCTATCTTTCACAATTCTAGAAATATGAACTAATTTTTTGAACTCATAAAGTCTCTTTACAATATTTATAGGTTGTTCACCGACCAAAACGAATGAGAATTAATGCGAAGTCTCTCGACTGATTTTGTAACACAAT